GTTTCTTTGAGGTGTAGGTGAAAGGCTGCAACTGGCCTTCCTGGAGTAATACCGCTCCCACCGCAATGTCACTGGCATCAGCCTTAATAATAAATGGTTTATCTGGGTCTGTGTGTTTAAGCACCGGCTCAGTAGAGAAAAGCCTTTTTAATTTTTTCAAAAGTCGCCTGACATTCCATAGTCCATTTGAAGGGCTGGCTGGGCTTTGGCTTGTTCTCCCCCTTCATTTTTAACAAATTGGTAATGGGGAGTGCAATCTGCATGAATGAGGGAATGAATTGCCAATAGAAGTTAGCATAACCCAGGAAATTTTGCAATTGCCTCCTGGTTCGTGGCAGTGCTCAATCCAGCACAGCCCACATTTTCTCTGGATCCATCTCCACCCCCTTATGGGAAATGCGGTAGCCCAGATAGTCAATCTTTTCTTTATGGAACTTGCATTTTATAAGTTTGGCAGAGTCGGGGCGCACAGAGCTTATTCAATACTGCCCTGACTAATCTGACATGCTCCTCTTTCATTTCGGTGTAAATTAGAATGTCATCCAAATATACCAAAAAGCCTTGTATAAGTGTTTATGGAGGACCTCATTAATCAGCTGCATGAAAACAGTGGGCACCCCTTGCAGTCCAAAGGGGAGCACTTTGAACTGGAAGCATCCTAACGGACAGTTAAATGCAGTTTTCCACTCATCCCCCTCCTTGATTCTAACCTGGTAGTATGCCTCCCGCGAGTCCAGTTTAGAGAAAATCTTCCCCTTCGAGAGGTGAAGTAGCATGTCTTTCATGAGTGGCAAGGGGTAGATATTGTTTATACACACTGCATTCAGAAATCTATAATCCACACAAAGGCGCAGAGACCCATCTTTTTTTTCACGGAACAGCACCGGGACAGCCACTTTTGGCGTCACTGGCTGAATGAAACCGCACACCAAATTTTTCTCTATGAACTTCTACAGCTCCTCTAACTCCCGGGGGATTATCAAGTAGAATTTGGGCTTGGGCAGCTTAGCCCTTGGAATAATCTCAGTGGTGCCAGTCTGAGGGGCAGTGAGGTGGAAACTTGTTGGATCGTTCTTCGCTGAACACTTCAGCTAGGTCCTGGTATTCCCTGTGCATGCCTTCCAATCCCTTATCATTGACAGTCACCACTACTTCAGATTTTTTTCTCCCTCTGACCCTGCAGTGCTCACCTTGCATGTGGGGCCTCCCTTTTGGGAATCTCAGTTCTCCTGTCCTCCAATTTACCCACGTATTCCACTTCCTTAACCACACCATTCCTATGATCAGAGGCCAGTCTACGCTGGGGCCACTATAAAAGTCAAAGTCTCAGTGTGGTCCCCCATGATGAGTTCTACTGGCCTCGTGGCAAAGGTCGCCAGGACTCCCCACAGTGGACCCATCTAGCTGGCCAAATGAAATAGGCTTCTTCAGTCTCCTCATGGGAACTCCCATGTTTCCCATCAGGGTTGCGCTTATTAAGCATCTGGTGCAGCCTGAGTCCAATAAAGCCTCCAGAGCCACCTTTTCTTCCATCTCTGGGCTTAGTAATTCTATAGGCCTGGTGAAGGTGCTATGGGTTCACTTACCAGGGGTTCATCATTGGAGTCATTTTCGGATGCCTCCACTCGCTTTTCTGGCAGGTCGGAGTTCCCCCTCCCAAGTTTTCAGAGGGTTGGACTAGATGACCTTGGTGCTTTTCATTGCAGTTTCCTTTGGGTGTTGATGGGTTTTCCCAGGTCCCCCCCCCCTCGGCTGGTCTGGCTTCCTGACCAGGGTCTTCAAACAGTATTCCCCAGCTCAATGGCCTTCTTTGCTGCACTTGAAGTAGGCAGTTGAATGCTGCACCTCCACTGGGATTTTCGTGTCTCCCTTTTCCTCTCTGGTGGAGAGTGTCTCCATGATTGACCAAAACAATGCTGGTTTTGGGCCTGGTCAATCTCTGCCTGTTCAGCCAGGATGCACCAATTGTGAAGGCAGGTAGGGGCTCCCCAGGCAATACAAGCATGGTAGAGATCATTATTCAGCCCAGGCATCGACCCTGTCTCACCATTTTAATGGAGTCCCTAGCCTTTTGGTCAGCTAAGGGGTCCTCAAACCTCTGTCTCAGGGCAGCCATGAAGTGGTTAAAGTTCCGAAGCTCAGGGGCATCGGCATTATGTAGGGTCACCATCCAGCAGGCTGTTGCATGTTCCAGGGCTATGGTTACAAATCTGACCCATCCACTCTCACTGGGGATCTCCCGGCCATACTCATGCATGTGGCTCAGGACTTGAGCCAGAAAGAATCCCAGCTGCTGGAGGTCCCCATCATATTTCATGCTAGGGGGTGAGTTTTCAGTTCAGGTCGACATGTTCCCCTCCTTCTAGCCCTGCGCCCGTCACCCCGGCTCAGGCTGGGGTCACTGTGGTGGTCACAGTCCCCACGGCTCAGTGGCACTAGTGGCAGGTTCACTCTCCCCCCTTTACTCTTCCTTCTCCAGCTTTTCTTGACCCGGACCCGGCAGGGATCTGCTTCTTCCTCCTTGAGATTTTTAAAAGCTTCCAGAATCAGGTTTATGGCTTGTTTAAGAAAATGGTCAGACCGGTTGGTCTCTTGCCTTCTTCCTTGATGAGGTTGAGAGACCATTCTATCACCTGCTTCCACCCTGGCTGGTGGCTGCCACGGTGGAAGGTTACTTTCTTGGACCTTCCTTCCCAGTCCTCCTTCGTCCCCATACTGATCAACCATCTTGGCTTTGCAAGGTTCTCTCCTATCTCTGCTTCATTGCCAGAGCTGGAGGAGACCGAGCTGCTGTCACTCGGGCAAACTTTCAGGGAGGGGGACTCCACCCAACGCTCGCCTTCTCCTTTCTCACCGCTGTGGTTTGATATCACTTGTACATTCCCTGCAGCAGGGGTTTTCCTCCCTCCAGGTTGACCACTTTGCAGATCCTGCCTAATGTAAGGACCTGCCTCAGTTAAACCTCCCAAGAAAGCAGAACTCTTGAAACGTGCATCATTTCAACGGGAACTGTTATTGGGAGATGCTGACTACAGGAAAATAAGGCAGGATTTTGAGGGTTTCCTGTGCAGCATTCAAAGTTGCAATCCAAACCCCACCCCGACTGTCCATCTGGCCAGTTCAAACAGAGCCAATCCAAAGGTGTCAAATTGTTGTGGGAAAGAACCGATAAGGCGCCACTCTCAAGCTTGTCAGGTTTCTCTGCGGCTTCTTCCCTCCATCTGGAGATAAGGCAGATCACTCCTCACATTCCATTCTCACCCCGAGAAAGAGATACTTCAAAGAGAAAAGCACAAAGCAAAGGAAATACACTGTGGGATACCCATAGGTTTCCCCTCCCCCCAATAGAATGGCAGAACCCGAACAAGAGAAGAAAGGAATAGGAGAAAGAGAGGAAAGGGGTTCTGACACCTGTGTCTGAGCTGCTGGGGCAGGCACCATCATAGCTGCGGTGGTGGGTACGGTCACACCATCACTGCCCATGGCTTGCGCTGGTTGGGTGGCCGGCTGTGCCATCCGCCCCAGGGCTTTGCATGGCTTGAGGTTGCCAAAGGCACCCTGTAGGCACCCTGTAGGTACTCTGTTGCACACTCCAACATCTTGTCTTCCCAATCTATCTTGCCCTGGTTTGCCTCCTCCTCAATCTCCATGCGTGGCTCTCTCAGGCATGTGAATGTCACTCTGGATGGTTTTTCCTCCCACTCTTCTTTCTTTCTGACCTCCAGAGACCATCGGGGTCTTGTCTTGTCACTGCAGGCTTCCATCTGACTCAGCCATTCAGGGAGGTCTGCCATGGGGTCTCGAGGATGCTGCTTCCTCCAGGCTTTAACATCCTCCTGGTCACTCTTGTGAGCCGACACATGCCTTGAGAGCTGGTACCCGTGCTTTCTTGGTCTTCATCAAGCTGTCATCCCCCCCTCCCTATTTCCCATCACATCCCTATAAATGTTTATTGCCCATTTGTCCTCTTTCCCCCCTGCCCCCTCCCTTCTAACCTTTGATGGCAGGATCCCAGCAAGGCGCCAAGCCAAAGATGGCATGCCTAACACTGACTGCAATCTTCTTCTAAACATTTATTTTGAAGTACCATTCTTGTATTCAGTTGAATATCTGAACCCAGTTGCTTAGCATTGCTCTCAGCGTTTTATTTGAGGTCACTTATCTCTATAGATTGAAACTGAGTTCTGATAATCTGAGTTCCAACTCCCTCACTGTATCTGTGTAAGATAATGATTAAATGTTCCTGTACTGTTTTATGTTTAGAATGTAATTAAATTATTAAAGTTCTATATCTTGAAGCATATCCAAGGAATTAGGAATGCCTGATAGATTTAATAGTCCATTTCATCCTTTAAGCAGAATTCTTTGCTGATATATTACAACCAAATTTTGAAAGTCATCTATACTATAGAAGCAGTCTTTTTTAGGTAGAATATTAGTCCTAACATAAATAAAATCTAATATAATGTTGTTTGAATCCTGCTCTATATTGTCATATAGGGGCCAAATCTGTGATGGGAAAAATGTGCATAAGCAATTTGTATCAGACACTAAAATTATTAATATTATTTTAATGTGAGATTATTTGATTATTATATTAAAATATTTTTAATATGTTTATTACTTTGTGACCAACAGTTCTCTGATTTTAGTGGATGATGAATGTTCTCCTTGATATACATTGTATTACATAAAATGGCACTAAACATTACTGCTTTGAGGGTCTGCAGTATACAAATTAGCACAAGAAAATAGCAAAAGAAACAGAGAGAATGAAAGTTGGAATATATAATGAAAGACTGCATGATAAAACAATACAGCTATACAGTATATTCCTTTAGTTTTTAAATTCATTTTGCATTTCATGGTATGAACATATACTTGAATCTGTAATGTGTATGAATCTCTTAATAAAATTTATCTTGATAGATTATTTAAACTGATGTGCAAAACTAGATTTTCTGCATAATTTTTCATTCAAATGTTTTCCCCTTGTCCAGGGACTGCATGAAAATGGGAGAAGTGGATGGCAAAAAGATTGGATGTACTGTCAGTTTGTTGGTGTGTATCTCTTTGATTCTGGATATTTTGCTATTTCATATTAAAAATATGAGAAGCATATTCTTTAACAGCCTATTTTACAGAAAGGTTAGAAGTGCAAATTCTACTGCACAAGTGATGTACAGCAATAAATTCAAAGCCTATTATAAAATATTGAAATACTTATGCTATATTGAATATATATTGATAGTTACCTAGTCAATGTCTTTGTAAGTATGCAGGGGGAAAAGTGCAAATCTAGGAATAAAGGGATAGGTAAGAGCTTAGTATATTCTACTAGACTTTTCTAAAGGATGAAAATGAGAACAGAGATTATTCTACTAGCCAAACTTACCATCTTTCAGAGAGCTTCATGGCCCTGCTAGGATCTGAATCTGCTTTTCCCAATCCAATCCTGGTTCTACTTCAATACTAACTGCTACAATGAGAGAGAAAAAATATTTGATCGCCTACTGATTTTGTACGTTTGTCCACTGCTAAAGAAATGATCAGTCTATATATTTTTTTATTATTATAACAATTTTTATTAGTTTTTCATTTTACACCGACAAAGCTTGAGAATCAACATGGAGATATGGTGGTCAATTAAAAGAAAAAAAAGCAATAACCTTATAAATATGCACACAATATTTCTTAAACTTTCCCTCTCTATCTATATAGGATATTATAATCAAATTAATACATTTCTCAAATAAATTCATTCATTAATGTGTCTAAACATAAATTCCATTAGTCAATAAAAGTTTTCAAGAGCTTAATATCTATTCTATACAAACCTTTCTAAAAACAATTTTTCAATAAATATATCGCTACATATAAAATTCATTAATCAATAAAGGTTTATAAAAATTCATTATCCCAAAGATCCTGTTTTACACTTTGTTAATTTTTTTAAATATTTAATCTTAAACTAACATATTTATTTACTATTCATGTTTCCCAAGTTTTCTCTTATTTAAAAATATTAATTCCAAAGCTAAATTCTTATATTTCTCACCTATATTCTATTCTTTTTCAATAATTCTACAGTTATTAAATCCATCTCTTCCAATATTTCAATCCTTTTCTCATTATATCACCTCTAATATTAAAAACATATGAAAAAGGAAAAAGAAAAGGAAAAAGAAAAGAGAAAAAAAAGATTACATCAAAGGAGAGAAAAAAACATAGATAAACCAAAAGAAAAAAAGAAAAGAAGAAAAGAAAACAAAAAGAAAGACTTATTCTTACTAAATTTCAGTATTAAATTCTAAATCATTTCATAATGGCCTCCCTTTTAACAAATTCCAAGTCCAAATCAATCTGAGTCACTTTAAAACCTTTACCACCCATAATTATAATCTCAAATTTAATATTTATATCTTATTCTGGGTTTCTTTCTATTCCAAATAGGTTTCCAAAGTCGAGTCTCTCTTTCTGCAAATAACTCTCCCATTATCGCCTGCCACATTGTACACACCAAAAGGAAGATTCCCATTGTATATTTTGTTAAGGTATATAAGGGTTAAAGCTATTCTGAATAACCATGGCAGAACATCATTTCCCATCTTTTTTTCAATTGCATAAAGTTTAATTAAAATCCTTTTTTTAATATCGTTCTCTTTAGTCAAGTTTTGCTCTTCTTCCAAAAAAATTTTCTGTATTAGAGAGTTAAGTGGTGTCTGCAAATCGGCTTGTCCTTGTAAGGTAAAACATTTCCTTATTATAAGTCATTTGTCCATTAGTATCAAGTCTTTTTTCCGATATCAATTGATAGCCCAACTGTGACTTTGCTTCTTCCATCTCAGTGGGCTGAGAGCAAGTCTTTTGAACATAAACTGCTGTTTCGCTTAGTCCTTGTGCTTTACTTTGTCGATATAAAGAAATTTCCTTTGTGCAAGCAATTATCTTCTCCGTATTTTCCAGAATTTTGTCCAAAATTCCAGAATTTTGTCCAAAACCTCTAAGGAGGTTTCCTCCATTTTTATCATATTTGCAATCATTATCCTTTTAGGGGAGACTATATTCAAAAGCAATCAATCAATATCCATCTCCTCCCAGTTTCTTAGTCTTTCTCCTTTGTATTAAATGAAAGCCAAAGACAAATTCCAAATGAAGAGAATGGCGAATACAATAAGTAGTTTCACCAAAAAATATCCTCTGGAAAATAGTCAAAGTTAATCAAATATTCAGTCTTTCTGGACACCATAAAAAATAAAAGAAAACAATATTCTCCAAGCATGTAGCATGTTAAATCTCTATAAGAAACTTTCTTGAGGCTCCCCTATATTCAAAAAGAAAATCAACCATTAGAACAAAATAAATTTTAAGCTTCTCTTCTCCCATTTAAAACGCTGCTTCATCAAAAGGGAAATAGTTCCAAAGAAAAAAGCTTTCCACAGGAAAAAAAAAAGAAAATAGAGGTAAAACAAAGTCTCACCTATGACTCTTTTGAAAAATCCATCTCCTTGCTAGGACAAATATAAAAGTTATAACTAGTAGAGAGATAGGAATAAATCCCATCATCATCACACAAGATATACTTGTTTCTAATATCAACAAAAGTTCTTTTGGTAGGCATAGCCATACGCTGAACTTTCTATGTCACACACTTTTAACATACGCTTCGTTATTCAAATAATTAAACAATATAAATTCCCAAAAATCTATACAGGTTGTTTATTGCAAGAGCATTCAAATTGTTTAAAACGGAACATTAGCTTTAGTCCCGTACTGCAGTAAAATTGTCAAAAAGCTTGACAAAGTGTTCAGTCCCCTGAATTCCCAATCATTAATATTACATTTGGCAGATCTTTTTGGACAAAAATATTATTTTTACTTTAAAAAAGATGGTTAAGGGAGGGGAGGCATCTAACAATCTGTCCTTGACCTCTCATTCAAATAGCCATTCTGCTTCTGAATTTAGATGGCATGATTTTGAAAGAAAGGGTTTTTCCCCTTCCTTCCCTAGGCTATTCTGTTCCCATTGATACACTTTAAAAATGCTGACAAGTAAGGAAGAAAAACAAGCAAACAACAGCTCCACTACTTCTGATAATATCATTAGCATGTTTCTAGTTTGTGTGAGTATGTTGTAATGCCTAAGCTTAGGAAAGTGCCTATTTATCAATTAGGATTTAGATAAAACATCTGAAATTTTTAAACATGTATTTTTATTCACTTTCTGAGTTTAATGTGTTTTGTACATGTCAGTCATACAATGTATTCCTTTCTTTTTTATTTAATTTTTAAAATATATAACAATTGCTTAAGATTTGTGAACAAATTTATCATCATTTTCAAGACAGAGACCTGAGTGATTTGTAGAATATAGTTATATTATCTGTTGTAATGGTATTCATAATTTCCTTCGGTTCCAGAACTTCTATAAAACAGAACTGAATAAAGAAGAGATGTACGTTAGGTACATACATAAACTATATGATCTGCACCTAAAAGCACAAAACTTTACAGGTAAATATTTTTTTCACATAACCTGGACAAAATATTTTTGGAAATATTCTAAATATATATTACCTAGATCTCATTATTAGAAAAGTGGGATGATAATGTATTATTCTATTTTTAATCTCAGGAAGTGGGAGAAGCACATTTTATTCTTCAGGTACCAAAATAAGTTGGTTGGATAAGACCAACCAATGGATACTGTAAGCCATTATGATACAAGTTGTCCTTGACTTATGACTGTAATGGAGGCTGCCCATTATGTTTGCAAGTTATGATGGTAATAGCCTTGCTTAATAACTCCAATCCCTCTTCCCCACATTGTGGTTGTTAAGCAGAGCATGGGTGCCTCAGAATGGGGAAAACCTTAGGAGGCCTTGTGCTGGCCCAGGCCTGCATTTGCAGCACCTCCCACTTTTCAGCAGATCTCCTTCAAGAAGCAGCCTTTCTACTGCAAGGCCTTCCTACACAGAGACCATGTGGCGCTATCCTGGAAATGAGTGCCAGTTTTGAAAGCAATAGCAATGAATTGTGGCTGCACAGAAATAACACCCACTTCTTGGATGGTGCCACATGGCTGCCACTATATAGGGAGGCTGAGGGGTGGAGCAGCCAGCTGTCCTTCCCAAATGTAGTCTCTGGTTCTTTGCTATGCTCCTTGACCTCCCTATACAGTGGAGGCCATGTGATGCCATCCCAGAAGAGTAAATGATGTGTAAATGATGGTTATAACATTACTGTTAAGAATCCTTGCTGCAAAATATGTAAATATGAATGTTGCCTTCAACTATCTCAGAAAAGAATAACTTATTGGGGGAAAAATGAGTCTACCTGTTAGGAACCAAGGAACCAAGAATGACACAAGGAGTGACTTCTGAGTAGTTTCCTTGTTGTTGCTTGCCTATAGAAACAAACCTCGCCAGACTAAAGCACCTATGTGCATAACTATTAGATATACCCTGTGTAATGCTAGGAGGAGTCCACCTTTCTACATATCAAAGATTCCAAGCTTTTCTATCTCTTTGCTTCCTGGGAAAGAGCCCTCCCTTTTGCAGCTCTGACCTATATTCTGTTATGTCCCGAGCCTTTGCAAACGGCTCGGGCGTTTGCAGGCAGTCCCGGGCAGGTGCAAAGCTGCCCGGGACCAGACAGGCTGTCGCCAGCGCCGTGCGCATGCGCGGGTGCTGGCACGGGAAAAGTAACCCATTTACCCGGGAGTTGCCTATATAAGAGGCTGCGAGGCGTTTGGGCGAGGCTGAAGCCATCTTCCTGTAAGCTGAACACTGAATAAAAGAAACTGAGAACTCCAGCTGCTTCTCGTGTCTGTTTTCCCGCCACGGACTCAACACTGGCGACGAAGGTGGGATGCCTTGCACTACCTGGAAAGGAAGAAGTGTAAGCTTACCCAAGGAGTCCTGAGCGGCGGAAGAGGAACGGCGTCGACTCGGCAGCTGCCCGCCATTCCGGTGCGCATTCGGGGGTAGGCTGGCTGATAGACCCGTCTCCTGAAGATCCGAAGATGGCGAAAATCGGAAGGCTTTCAGAATTCGACGTCTCACATCCAGAGCGGTGGGAGTCCTACGTATCCAGAATGGAGAACTACTTCAAGGCAAACCAAGTGAGGGAAGATAGCTTGAAGGCTGCCACCCTGCTTTGCGTTTGCGGCCAAGACGCCTTCGAAATCGCAGAAAATCTTGCAGCACCTGTTCCAGTAGAGTCTGTAAGCTACGCAGACCTGAAGAAGCTGCTGAAGGAGCACTTCCACCCCAAGGTGTCCGTTATCTCATGGCGCCACACCTTCGAGCAGAGGGATCAACGGTCCGGTGAGTCAGCCAAGGAATACATCGCCGCGTTACGGAAGGCCGCCAAGCCCTGCGAGTTCAAGGACCTCGAGGAACGACTGAGGGACCGATTCGTGTGCGGGTTAAGGCATCGAGAGCTACAACAGAGACTTTTCGCTAAGGAAGAATTATCCTTCCAAGACGCCTTAAGGGAAGTCACCGCAGAAGAAGCAGCAGGCGGCGCCGTCAAGAACATGCGGCCGATCAGAAGCAGTGCAGAGGGTGCGTCCGTGCACCAGGAAGACGTCCGACGAAACTCCGAGGAGGATCCGGACGAAGAAGTCGACCGTCTACACCCCGCGAAGGACGAGAACCAGAACCAGAAGGGAAGCTAAGAAAAAAAAAAAACAAGCTAAAAAAAAAAAAAAAAAAGAAAAAATAAAGAGAAAAAAAAAAAATAAAATAAAAACAGAAGAAAAAAAAAAACAAAAAAAAAAAAAAAAAAAAAAAAAAAAAAGAAAAGAGAAAAAGAGAAAAGCTCTTCGGCTCCGCCTCAAGTGTGGCATTCGGCTGTGGAGGTCGCCACAGTGAGAACCGACTGCAAGTTCCAGCTCCGCTACCTGCAGTGCATGCGGCAAACAAGGGCACATGCAGCTCGTGGTCTGGGCCGCCACGAAAGGCAAAACCCCAGGAAGAACGCCTGAAGGGTACCAGATTCCCCAGCCAGAATAGGGTAGGTTTTTGCGCTTCGCGAAGAAGCATCTGTAGAACAGGCACACACAAGCCCATGAAGAAAAAAGCTGTCACTCAACGTGAAGCTACAAGGGGTTCCATTATCTATGGAACTAGACACAGGGTCTGCCCTTTCCATTATTTCATTGCATACATTTAGGAAGATTTGTTCCAGTAGTGGGACTAAGGCCAAGTTAAGGCCTTCTGATATTGTATTAATAGATTTTCAGAACTCAAGAGTGTGTGTTAAGGGGGAGGCCACCCTTAAATGCCAATACAAGAGTTTTGAAGGTTCCACTAGCTTATTTAGTAGTAGGGGGGGTGAACGAAACGAGTCCTCATAAGGACTCGATTGGTTTGAGGCCCTGGGGATACACGTCACAGGACTCAACAGCTTACAAACACTCGACCTACAGGAAGTCTGCAAGGAATTTGCAGATGTTTTCAGCCCCCAGCTGGGCACATTCCAAGGACCACCTGTGTCCTTAAAGCTAGACCCCACTGTCACTCCCATTAGGATTAAAGCAAGAAGGGTCCCTTTTGCTTTAAAAAGTAAGATTGACACTGAACTAGACAAACTAATCCAACAGGGAATCCTAGAACCTGTTGATTCCAGCCCGTGGGAGACCCCATTGTCACGCCTCTAAAGGCAAATGGGGAAATCGCAGTTGTGCTGATTACAATGCAAATCACTCAATTAAGGCATTGCAGCAACATGCCTATCCTGTTCCTGTGGCGTCACCATCCTGGCCCTCTCTCAAGGGTGGGCGCGTGGGTGTTTTTGCCAAAAGCTTGACCTAGTCAAGCATATCAAACAGCTGCTGTGATGATTTGATGCTGCCATAGCAGACCATTGTGGACCCAACAGGGGAGGAGTCTCTTTAAGGTAAAAAGGCTACAGTTTGGAGTGAATGTCGCTCTGGGATTTTCCAAAGCGTAATGGAAAACACACTACGAGGTATACCAGGGGTCTGCCCCTACTTTGACGATGTCTTGATTGCAGGAGACTCCACACACATTCTAGCTGAAAGGCTTAGGGCTGTCCTGTTAAGATTCAGGAAATCAGGCCTCAAGCTCAGAAAAGACAATTGCAAGATTGGGGTGCCTTCTACTGAATTTCTGGGATTCAAAATTGATGCTGCTGGGATTCATCCTGCTGAATCCAAACTAAATGCTATTTTAGAAGCACCCAGGCCAAAGTCTAAGGCCGAACTTCAGGCCTTCTTAGGCCTCCTGAATTTCTACAATTCTTTTCTTCCACATAAAGCTAGTGTAGCTGAGCCTCTTCACAGGCTACTAGACAAACATGCTGTGTGGCTGTGGTCCCAAGCACATGAGGCTTGCTTTAAAGAAGTCAAGGCCTTGCTCACTTCTAACAGTGTTCTTGCACATTTCAACGAGTCCCTTCCTGTGTGCATCGCTTGTGATGCGTCCCCCTACGGGGTTGGAGCTGTCCTGAGTCACCTCAGGTCTGATGGAACTCAGGTTCCTATTGCTTACTACTCCAGAACACTGTCTTCTGCCGAGCGCAACTACGCTCAGATAGACAGGGAGGCTCTGGCTGTTGTTGCTGGAATTAAAAAATTCCACGATTTTCTATATGGCAGGCATTTCACGGTCTTCACTGACCATAAGCCTCTGCTGGGACTGTTTACCACACGTAAGCAGACTCCCCACATCATTTCCCCTAGAATGCTTAGTTGGTCTATTTTTTTGTCTGCATATGATTTTTCATTACTCCACAAGCCTGGGAAAGAAATGGGCCATGCTGATGGCCTCAGTAGGTTGCCTCTGCCAGTAGTAGAAGCTGACCCCGCGCCAGCTGTCAACATTCTATCAATCACAGCCTTGCCCAGCTCCCTCTTAGTGCCAGGGATGTTACCGCTGAAACAGGTACAGATCACACACTTTCAAGTGTCCGCTCCTGGGTCCTGTCCGGGTGGCCTGAGCACTGCCCTAGTCCTGAGTTTCAGAGTTTCTGGTCCAAAAGGAACGAACTGTCCCTTTCTCAGGGTTGTCTGCTTTGGGGAAAAAGAGTTGTCATTCCCACCTCAATGAGGACTAGGGTCTTAGAATCCCTCCACGAGGGTCATCCTGGCATTGTTCGTATGAAGGCTCTTGCGCGCAGCCACTTGTGGTGGCCTGGTTTAGATAAAGATCATTGAGGCTAAGGTACACGCATGCCACTGTGCCAACGATTCTCGCCCAGAGATGACCCCAAGCTCCTGTGCATAGCAATGGGAGGAAACACGTCCCCATGGTCTAGGGTGCACATTGACTACGTGGGCCCTTCAGGGCATTCTTCTTGTCCTTGTTGACACGCCATTCAAAAGGCTTGTAGTTGAGTTGTGCTGTCTCATTCCACCACACTGCAAAGGAATATTCAGGTTATGGGGGGATTTTTGCTCTGCACACGGGCTGCCAGATGGATTGTGTCAGGACAACGGCCCTCAATTTCACCTCCTCCGAATTCCAAGCTTTCTTACAGGCAAACCCTGATTCGTCATGCACGTCTGCGCCTTTTCACCCATCCACCAACGGTATGGCTGAACGCATGGTGCGCATTGCAAAGGACGCCTTGAAGAGACTCACCTACGGGGACTGGCATCACAGGTTGGCTGACTTTCTCCTTTCTTATCGCACCACACCGTCCACTTCTACAGGGAGAAGTCCAGCTGAACTTCGTTGGGGGCGCCAACTTACTACTAGACTTGACCGGTTGCATCCGGACAGACTGCCTTCATCTACCTCACATCCTAGGACCCCTAGACAACTACTTGTGGGTGCCCCGGTTTGGGCTCGCAATTACGGGCCTGGTCATACCTGGGTCCCCGCTTCTATTTCCAGGGTCACAGGTCCTCTCTCCTATGAGGTTGCCCTGGACAACGGTCGTGTCCTGCGTCGGCACATCGACCAACTTCGCTCTAGGCGAGACTTTTCTGCTGAGACTCCGGGGTCTTTTCCAGGGGGGGAGGGGGACCCTTTGGAGCAAAGGGAAGGGCAAGAGCTACTGCCCACCTCCACTGAGGGAGCCACAAACGGCCCATCTCAGGGTTCTGCAATTGCTCCGAAAAGAAAGTCATGGAGCTTACCCACACAACCGGCACTCACGCCTACTCCAGCCAGGGAGTCACCCCGGGGGCATACTCACTTTCCACACACATCACACAGCACTCCAGTAACGGAGGATACCCGGGGGCATCACAACAAATCATTCCCCGCAAGAGAGCTGGCACAAAATTCCCAAGGTTGGCCTGACCTTACCCCAAATCCTACAGGGGGTCAAACATACACAGAGCTAGTCGAGGAACCAAGTCCCGACTACAACACCCCTAGCACACATCAGGGAACACCTGAGTTTTGGGAAAGTACAGAAACCCACACGAGCCCGAGCACAGAATGGGGTTCAGGGAATGGACAGCCTCCTGACAGGTCTTGGACTGACCTAGGAGGTTCTACAGAGACGCCCAGCAGTGGATATCACTTCAAGGGGCCTGAGGGTCTACAGCTAGGTAGGACAACCAGGTCACAAAGCAACAGAAGCCCTGGCCTGACGAGCCCGGTGGGCAAGCAAGCAGGCCAGGCATCGGGGCACCGTCCTTGGAAGACACCAGGGCACAATAGAGAGAACAGGCTCACGCCTCCCTCCAGTCAGGGGACTTATGCCAGTAACCCAGAGCTAAGAAGGTCACAGAGAGCAAAGAAATCTCCTAAGTATCTAGAAGATTACAAAACATTGCTGGCAAGGCAAAAGCCAGTAATCAGTGGGAGCACTGGGGAGCAAAATGTCATATAAAATAAATGTTGTATGTTGGTAGTAGTTTTAGCCCGGGGGACAGGGGTGTTATGTCCCGAGCCTTTGCAAACGGCTCGGGCGTTTGCAGGCAGTCCGGGCAGGTGCAAAGCTGCCCGGGACCAGACAGGCTGTCGCCAGCGCCGTACGCATGCGCGGGTGCTGGCGCGGGAAAAGTAACCCATTTACCCGGGAGTTGCCTATATAAGAGGCTGCGAGGCATTTGGGCGAGGCTGAAGCCATCTTCCTGTAAGCTGAACGCTGAATAAAAGAAACTGAGAACTCCAGCTGCTTCTCGTGTCTGTTTTCCCGCCACGGACTCAACATATTCCATTATACTAACCTCCACCTGCATTTAGCATATTATATTTAATATATTTATTTAATTTATTTATTCATATTTATTTATTAAACTTTTTAACCATCCATCTTCCTCACCCATTTTCTATCTCTTCCTGCTATTCCTATTTTGAGTTGTAGTTCAGAAATTCTACTTTTGATTGTTACTCAAGCTCTGCAAAATATGGCTAAGCTTAACTATAATTTATCTGAAACAAGGTGTCTTAAAACACCAAGTTCATGAAACTGTTCTGGTTCTATAATCCATTGTCAAGATTAATACTAGTTTAGTGTTTGTATTACTAAATAACAGTTAAATAAAATCAGAAGCAAAAGCATCTGGTCTCCTGCAGAAAAGGAGAGAAACATGAATAGGCAAAGCTTGTTTCATTCTCATTATTTTATCCTGACATCTAAATGCAGTTGCAGTCTTAACATCAAGGAGCAAATTATTTAGTAATATAGCAATTGTTTCTGGAATATATATTTTTCTGTTACTGTGTATATATTAAAATTGTTTCATGTTTATTTGTGAAACTTGACAGAGGCTGCTTATACACTCTTATTGTATGATGAACTGTTGGAATGGTCCGACAGACCATTGAGGGAATTCCTGAACTATCCCATGCAGACAGAATGGCAGCGCAAAGAATTTCTTCATCTCATGATCATCCAGAATTTTGACAGAGGAAAAGTAAGAGAGTTTTGGTTGCTATTTTTCTTATTTGCGACTGCCTTCTTTTGAACAATTAATTATTAATATTGCTTGCCATCTATTCTTTGAGGTACATCATATTTGATATGCAAATTAAATTGCACATACAGTATAAAATCTGAAGTTGGCTGTTTAGGGAAAATTTCAACCTGTAACCCATACACATATTTCATTTAATATATATATCTTTCAGATAGGTTCAAATAGTTCAGATTGTAATATTGTTTTTAAAACAAGGATGATTCATATCTGATCCAATAGAGCAGACATGTCAAACACAAGGTCCGCGGGCCAGATGCGGCCCGCTATGTGGTTCCATCCGGCCCGGGTATCTGCTCTGGAAAGAGTGAAGGACCAGCCCGCTGCACCTTGGCCCAGCCCAGGCCGACTGGGCGTTGATCTACAACCTGGTTGCCTCCATCAAAGTCAGAACACGCTCAGTGTTAAATCCACAGGACAGCCCTGCCCGGTCCCCTGGGTGTGCACGCAAGCAGAGTCTGGCATCCCTGCTGGCTGTTTTGTCCCGCAGGCTGACTTCACCCAGGATGCCAGCGCTGGCCGTCTCCTGTGCACACACCCGGGGGGTGGGGCAGAGGTGGCGAGGCAGCTCCTTGCTGGTTCAAGTGGATCTTAGGCTGAGCGCGTTCTGGCTTTGATGGACACAACCAGGTTGTAGATCAGCACCGCCCCTCCACCAGCACCTCTAGCCTCGAAGCCACGAGGCATCCCTTTCAACCCACAGGGTATAGGAATGGCCGGCAGCAGCGTATTAGTGCTGGCAATCTCTTCCCCTCCCATCACCCCTTCATGAGCACAGTGAAGGAAAAAGATGAGAAGGTGAAGGAAAGAACAAGGGAGGGAGGAAGGAAGGGAAGGTGGGTGGGAAGGAGGAAAGAAGGAAGGGAGGGGGGGAAAAGGGAAGAAGGAAGGAACAGGGAGGAAGGAATGGAGGGTAGGAGGGAAGAAAGAAGGAACAGAGGAAGGAAGGAAGGAAGGAAGGAAGGAAGGAAGGAAGGAAGGAAGGAAGGAAGGAAGGAAGGAAGGAAGGAACAGAGGGAGGAAGGAATGGAGGGGGGAGGGAAGGAAGGAACAGAGGAAGGGAGGTAGGGTGGGAAGGACCATGTCCCAGCGCTCACCCCAGTCCCATCCTCCTCCGCCAGAGACACTCAGATCTGCCCCAGTCCTGCCCAAGCACCCCTGAAGCGAGTGATATCGAGCTGGCCATGCCCACCCTGTAGACCACACCCACTCCAGCCACACCTACCTGGCCCCCAAGTGCAACAATACTGATGTGGCCCTCAATGAAATTGAGTTTGACACCCCTGCAATAGAGGTAATCCCCGAGTTATGAGCGTTCATTTAACGCTTGTTTGAAGTTACGTGATAAGTGTCCGCTAACGCTTACCAGCAAGTCCTGAAATTATGAATATTGCAGCACCATCCTTACGAGTGATTGCAGTGGCACTGCAACATTCATCCTGGTTATTCCCTCTCTCCCCACCCCCACCCTGGGTCTCCCTAGCACCAGGCCTTCAATACTCACCCTGCGAAGATTGAGATTCTTCACTTTCTTGGCTGCTCCAGGCCTTCGGTGCATTTGCAGAGAATGGAAGCCTAAAGTAACACAAGATCACATGAGATCAGTGGGGCGAGATCTCACACTACTGATCTCACATGATCTCATGGTACTTTAGGCCTCTGTTCACTGCTACAGAGAATGGAACCAAAACTAGGAGACAATTCCATGGTCTTCTGGCAGCCCAATCTGGGTGCCGGAAACCTCCAGGCCGCTGCCACCCGTATCTGAGGCCGGGGGATGCTTCCACGGCCCTCTGGTGGCCCATTTCCAGGGGGTAGCAGCCTGGAAATGGGCTCTGGTGCCAGGATTGGGCCACCTGAGGGCCGCAGAAGCATCCCCTGGCATCTGATCCAGGCAGCAGTGGCCTGGAAAAGGTGTCCAGTGCCTGGATAGGGCTGCTGGAAGGCCTTAGAACATCCCCCGGCCTCAAATCCAAGTGGCAGCAGGAACTGTGGCAGAGAGGAGATGGATCTTTTCCAGATAAGTCTGGCATGGCAGGAAGGGAGGGTGAAGCATGAGGTAACATAGTGGATCAGGAAGGCCTTGGGGGCCTGTTCCATCACTAGGCCCTCTATTGCCTTCCCCACCCTGAAATACCTCATGTTCACTTAACGAGCCATGTGTGTCTTAAAGAGCAAGGTACGTGTTGAGTCCTTGGCGGGAAGTAGACACGAGAAGCAGTTGAAGTTCTCAGTTTCCTTTATTCAGCGTTCAGCTTACAAGTAGATGGCTTCAGCAGCTCCCAAAACCTCCCAGCTTCTTATATAGACATTTCCCGGGTAAATGTGATACTTTTCCCGCGCCAGCACCCGCGCATGCGCACGGCGCTGGCGACAGCCTGTCTGGTCCCGGGCCGCTTTGCACCTGCCCGGGACTGCCTGCAAACGCCCGAGCCGTTTGCAAGGCTCGGGACATAACACCCCTTTCCCCCGGGCTAAAACTACTACCAAAATATAATCATTTATTTTATGCAGTGTTCTGCTTCTCAGTGCTCCTATCGTTACCTGGCTTTTGTTTAGCCAGCAATGTTATGTAATCCTCTAAGTATTTAGGAGACTTCTTTGCTCTCTGTGACCTTCTCAGCTCTGGGGTACTAGCATGAGTTCCCTGACTGGAGGGAGATGTGAGCCTGTTCTCCTTATTTTGCCTTGGTGCCTTCCAAGGACTGTGCCCCGCTGCCTGGCCTGCTTGCTCGCCCACCGGGCTCGTCAGGCCAGGGCTTCTGTCACTTTGTGACCTGGTTGACCTGCCTAGCTGTAGACCCTAGGGCCCCTTGAAGTGATAGCCACTGCTGGGCGTCTCTGTTGAACCTCCT